TACTTCAAGTCCCATCAGTGCCATCTGTTCTCCAAAGACAATGGATGCTCAATATTACGATACACTCAAAGTCTTCTGAACTGTAGGAAGTGGCTGAACATTGGCTCTGCTGTGTAGTGGTTGAGAACTTGGAATAAGACACAAGGTAAATGCTGTCCTGTTCTCCAGATTATATCAATTATGTAAAGCAACAAAAAAAAAAGCAAGCATAAATTAGTTTGGTTATTTATTAATAGGAGTTTAAAATTAGATCACAATTATGCTTTCTCTTCTACAAAAACTTAAAAGGGTACCTTGGGATCTACCATAACCACAGCTGCTGTCCACTGATTCTTGCATCATGAAAAGTATTTTGAGTTTTCATGCATTTTAATAAAGAACCCAATTTTCTGTACTAATTTATAGCAACCATAGCGTATCCATATATAACATATGTTCATAATGCATACATACAATATATGTTCTTCCAATAGGTACAAAGAATTCCCCTTTAAAACTGAAGAGCAATTATTAGAGGAACAAAAGAATCTATGTAGAGTATCATTTACTATAGTCATACCTCCAGTAAGTATTGAAAACCCACTATAATGCTCCAACAGATTTAAACACTACATGTGTTCTACTACAGCCAAGCTGCAGACCATAGTAACAACCCATTAAAAAAACCCAAACTCTCATGTTACTGTTTACATAATTATTTTGGTTTTTATCTCTGTTGGCATAGTGCAACCTTTCTCATCTCATGTACCTGGAGGTATGTTGTGCTAATGACTCTGAATTCGAACTGTTCTAAGGGCAAACCTCAAATTTCATCCCATCTTACAAATTCTGCTTTTCTCTTCAGAAAACTTTTGCCACCATCCATACAATGTCATGTGGCTCAGACAACATGAGTCTCTTCTCATTATCTTGCACACAGTATGATCAATGCTTCCTAAATGTGACTGACACACCTCGCTCCTTTGCTTCAGGAACTTTAAACAGCAACTGTCTAGGACTGTTACCTAGTTCCAAAATACTGCAGAACCTCTGCCTACTTCAACTGTAAAGACTCACAAAATGGAGTCACTGACACATTTCACTGCATGTAGCTCATAAGAATAATCTTTTTAAATTGTGTTTCTTTGGTCTATTTGGTTTGTGTTTTTTGGATTTTGCAGGTTTCTTTCCCCTCCACATTGACAGTGGATGACAGAATTGAGGCTTTGATCATGGCACATCCAATCACTCTAACCTGTCTTCATCCACCATGAAGATGCCACCACTGGACTTAATCCTCATTTCATTGATCTCAAAGCCATTCTGCCATTTTTAATTAAAACTTCTGCTTTTGTTAGTTAGTGCTCATATGGCTAAAACACACGATGGTGCTAATTCAAGTCTGACAATTCTCACTGACTTAGGAAGAGAAGCCATCGTTGCAGATTTTACATCAGGCTTATTGTAATAAATTCTGTGCACACGTATCCCTTCAGTCAAAGAATTCAGCACACCTGCTCATACTCCCGCGAGTCTCATATTCCTCTTAAGCAGAAGAAACAACTAATTCATGGTTCATAAACTCGTCCAAGATCACAAGGTAGAAAATGGAAAGCTAAGAAGAGCGTTTCCAAATTCTGGACTTCCTAAGGGGCAGTGGGGGGGGTGAAAAAAAATTAATTCTATTTAGGAGCATTGTGTTACTTTGAGTTTGACAAAAAACATATCTGATTTAGAAAATGTATTATCTACTGATTTTAGTAAAAAATTTCAGAGGGGTCCCTACCAAGGGGATGCAGGTTACCCCGCTGCATTCTTTTCCCATAAGAGTATCTCCCATTTGTCATGGCCAGTTGAAAAAACTAACTCCTGAAGTCAGCTGGTTACAATCCCTTAAAACCAACTGCCTGCACATACTGTACAATTACCACATGACTTCCAAGCCAAATCCACAGCTGCACACAGGAAATTCAGAGGGGGGGAAAAAAAGAAAAAGGACAACCCCACGCCCCCCAGTGCAACACTGGCTGTGCATGTGGCTGGGCACAATAGCTAAAGGGAGTCCTGAGATTAAATCCTCCCAGAACACAGCCACGCTGCGTGCTCACAATACCGGCTGGAATCAGCCCTTCTCGAAAGGAAGACAGGAGGCTATTGCCATAAAAAGAGCTGGGATTCTTAAACATCTGAAGCCAGGCTTAAGGGAAAATGACTGACAGGCAACAGCTGAGAGTATTCTGCATTGATCCTGTACCATCCTGACATTCCACGGAGGGTGATGGTGAAGGAAGATTTCTGATGGCATAAATAAACTCGAAATCTCAAAAAAAATTATACATATTTTAAAAATCATTATTACCGTCCTGGCTCGCCCCATCCCACCCAAAAGCCCCTACATCTCGAAAAACCAACCCCCCCCCCCACACACACACACACGCCCACCCACCCTCCCCAAAATGAAGGCCCGGGGAATCCCCCCCGCCGCGCATCTGCTCCCCCCGGCCCCGCCGGCGGCTCTGCCTTCCCACCACACGACCCTCCCCTGAGCGCAGCCCTCGCCAGCCTCGTCACCGCCGCCCCCCGCCGCCCCCCGCCGCCGCCCCGCTCCATCCCCGCCGCCCCCGGCCCCGCGCCCCCCGCACCTTCCCCGCTGCCCGCGCCCTCCCCCGCGGCCCCTCGGCCCCGCCCGGCGCGGAGCCCCCCGCGCCGCCCCTGCCGCCGGTACCTTGTAGAAGGCCCCGTTGGAGCCGCGCACTTCCACCGTCAGCTCCTCCATGTTGGGGCCGCAAAGGACGCCGGGACGAGCTTCTAGAAACTGTCACCGCGGGGGGAGCGAGCGCCGCCCGCCCCCTCCGCCCCCAGCCCGCCGGGGCCGTCCCCCGGCTCCTCCCGCTCCTCCCGCTCCTCCCGCGCCTCAGCGGGGCGGGTCCTGCGGGACGGGCTCCCGGGAAGGGCTCCCCGCTGCCGGCGGAGCGGGGCGTTCCCTGCGGGAAAGGATTCCCGGGAAGGGCTCCCCGCCGTTACCTCCCCCCCCGCCGGCGCTGAGGGGAGAGCGCGGGAGCCCCCGCGGGAGCGGCCGCGTGAGGGGGGCGGCGGCGGCCGGCGCTGCGCGGACAATGCGGAGCGGGGCTGCTCTTGTTTAACGAACGGCCGTTCAAAAGGCCGGGCCTGAGGGGACGCCTTCGGCTCCCGAGCTGCCTCCGGCGCCGGGCGTGCCCAGATGGTGCCCGACGTCCCTGTGCCGGAGTCCCCGGGGCTGCCGGCCCTGCCCTGCCCCGCCCCGCCCTGCTCACACACGGTGTGGGCTGTCCTGCCTGCCTGCCTTCCCCAGGAAAAATAAAAGATATAAAATGCCTGTGCCGGTCGATGGCCCTCGCAACACACTCGGACGCGAACTGTGCTCTGAGCTGGATGCTCACATAAGCTTAGTCATGCAGAGCCTGATGAACGGCCTGGGCCTTTGCCAAAATGCATATGTTTTTTGCAATAGGTTTAAATACAGAATCGTGGAATCATCAAGGTGGAAAGAGTTCTTTAAGACCGTCAAGTCCAACCACCAACCCAGCAGTGCTGTTGTAACCCCTAAACCACTGAACCACATCACCCAGCAGCAGATCCAGATGCCCCTTAAACACCTCCAGGGATGGAGACTCCACCACCTCCCTGGGCAACCCATTCTAATGCCTGACCACCCAAACAGTGGTTTTTTTCTAATATGTGATCTGAATCTCCCATCTCAGTTGAAGGCCATTTCAATAATGGCACTTTCAAATGCCCTTTCTGCTGATCTTTCCAAAGATGTCCCATTTGGGACATCAGCCCCAAATGACCAGGGATACGTGATAATATTTTACCCATCAAAGGTTTTCATTTTTAGTTTCTCCATGTTATTCTCCCACTGTAGCTTTTGTGCTAGCTGTAACCATGTCTGTCAGAGGGGGGAGAATTTCGGGTAATACAGGCCCAAAAGTGTTGAGAAATCTGGCTAGTGAATAGGGAGGCACAAATGCTCAAAATGGTCAAAGAACGTGTGGCTGTGACACTTGGGGATGTGGTTTAGTGGTGAACAGCACAGCACTGGGTTGACGTGATGATCCCAGAGGTCTTTTCCGACCTTAACATTTCTATGATTCTGATGTGGAAAATACATGTGCAACCAACATCATGGAATTTTTTTCCCATGTTGTGCCCATGAATATTCTCATTCCTGAATAATATTTATTCCATGTGACTGTTGGAGGGTACATATTTTTCTAAATATTGTTTAAATCTTTATAAATTACCCACAATTTATTCTGTCCATGGTGCCTAGGCCATGCATGGAGAAGAGAGCCCTTCTTCAATATGATAGGTGCTCCCTTTCCTGTTGGCAGAGGCCACTCAGGACTTCCCAGGATAAGTATGGAACCTGATAATATGAAGCAAACAGTTGTGCTGACAAAAATTCTACACCAGAAATTTTCATCACTCTAAGACTAAATAGCCTGAGGTTCACTTATTTAGCAACCAAGACACAGAGTTTCAATGTCAACTGCTAAAAAACGGTGTCTGGGGTTTAAAAAGAAAAAAAAGCATAAATAAACTACACATAAGCTGTTGCTGTCCTCAGGAGTGAAAACAGGACACAGATAAAAGCAATCACTCCAGAACTGCCTGAGGTGCCTGGGTCCACATTTGCAGAACTGGTGGACAGTTCTGGTCATTAATGATAAGGAGAACTGGCGTGAGCCAATGCAACCTGCATCTGAATTTGCCTGATAAAATTTGTTTTTCTGGAAGAGCGTGGATGATAGTGGTTAAGTGGCAGGGTTGTTTACATGTTAATATTGAGGCCATTGCTATACCTGGGTGAAATGGGGGTAGAAGAGGGCTGTTAGTAGGTTGTCCACAATAGTTTACATCACATCAGCCAGAATGTAGAGAATCAATCTGTTCTAAGTTTAGTTTTCTCTTAATATAAATTAGAAGTAACTACTAAATTGAATTACTCTAAGTTTTTAATGAAATAAGAAAAGGGAGGATCTTTATTCATCATCAGGAACTCTGATAGTAGCTACTTAAAACTTTTTCGCAAGACGTGGTAAGGTGACTAATTTTTTTGTTTCATTTTGCAACATGGGAAACTGCCACCTCCATTTCCTAGAGCCGTTCTGGTCGGGGAGATGCTCTGGGTAAATCTGGTTGAACCACACTCTGTCCTCTGTTGAAACTTCCACAGCTCAGGAGGGACAGCAAGCTTGAACGTGCCAGCAGGACAGTAAACAGGAAATAACAGGATTCGGTATCCTTTTGTTGGCTGGAAAAAGCAGAAAAAGGTTTGCTTATTTGAGTGAGCAAAGTGAAGGGTGGAGGATTAAACATGAAGGGATTAAGATGGTTGTCTTCAAATACATCAAGGCACACAAAGGGGATAATGATCAGTGAGAGACTGAGGCTATAAAAGACTGAAAAACGTGACTAGTAAAAAGAGTCCCAAATAGGTATAGACTGACCATTAATAAACTTGGAAGTGGGACTTTAGAATGGGAGGTTGAGGAAGTTTCAGGAACAGCCCTACAAAATTAATTAATGAAAGTTAATAAAGCCTGCCTACTTTTAGGGTGAAAAAAGCATTTATGATAGTGACATATCATGAGCTATATAAACCATATTTTCAAGATAGAAAACTTTGAAAGTATTGACCTCTGCAAGTAAACAACCAACTCATACTCCCATCCTTCCAAATGCCCTGTCTAAAATTCAAGAAGTATGTGGATATGCTGGAGAGTGTTCAGGAAAAAGCCATAAAACAAAGGATTGAAAATGTAACTCACTGTAAAACTATCATAGCAGAGTTTTAATACATTGAAAGAATTATTTTTTTCTACAATCTACAAGTACCCAGGTAGAACAAAAAAATATAAAGGCCTCTAGATTCCTATCACTAGCAACTTTGAAATCAATATTGAGTTTGCTCCAGTTCATACACAAATGAATTCATGGAATTCAGCTGTGTAACTGAGGGTCAGAATGGAATTGTCATTCTGGGACCTTCTGACATCACACTCTGTTAAATGTTCACCTCACCCAAAAGCTGACAAATTTTACCCATTTTCAGGGACTTGGACAACTATGAAATCAACAAGATAACTGCTTGGAATAGTTATCTCTTAAAATAAGATTATATTTAGTTATGAAAAGATGCAGAAATTGATAGCCCTCTTAGACTACTAGTAGGCTGAGAGTTTCTGTTTGAAAAAAATGTTGTAGTTTTAAACTATTAGTTACTTTGCTGCCGATTAAGTTTAGTGCCTTTTCTGATGCCAAAACAAGGGCCATTGCTGTGTTTTACTGAGCATATATTCTACCTTTCAGTAAAATGAAAACCCAGAAGTAGCCTTTCTTAGCACATTTTATGAAAAAAAAAATACGCAAAAATCAAAGTCAAATAAATTCAGAGTTACGCCTTTACTTACAAACACAATGTAACAACCTGGGTCTTACATTCCATTCAGTGACGGGAAATGCTGACACACTTAGCAACTTATGCCATAAAAAATAAAATAAGCGTAAAAAATTAATCTAGTTTTGCCTTTAAGTGGGTGAAAACCATTTTGGTTCCTTTGCTCATTCTGAAATTTTGGCAGAAGGCTGATACCTGTGAGAGACATCCACACAGAGACTTCCAACCTTAGCAGGAGCTTGGGCAACAGGCAGCACCAAGAAGTTCTGTAAATTGCTGTGCATCCCTAATTCTCAGTGGAGACAAGCAACACGGATATTTGAAAGATACTATGAGATAAGATCATATTGGCCTCATGTCTTACCAAATGACAAAACTACATTACAATTTGGAAAAAGTCTTGGAGAAGTTCTTTTGAAAAATTGCCAGTTTCCAGGTGTATAGTGTTTACTCATTTCCATGCATGTTTTCTTTGTTCCACAAGTTGTACTTGGGTGGGAGAAGGAAGTTTATGAAACTCGTAAAATCACCTCCAGTATATCCAGTGTACAGCACTGATAGAGAGACACACGGCCTTGATACCAATTGTCCTGTTGGGCCGTGTAAAGAGCCTGTAGTTTGTTGTAAAAATGGAAAGAAAACTCCTATAGAAAATCTTGTGTTTTGTTTTGGTCTGTCCTTCATTGTGATTTTTGCACTACTAGAATATTGAGCTGAAGAAGAATCTCTACAATTTTTCATCCCATTTTTCATCAGCCTTTCACAGCTGCATTCCTGACCTTTACAATGAATGAATATTTGTCTGGAGGTTCACTGAACCACATATTCCATGCCCAGCCACATCTGTAAGTACTGTAAGCAGACACCACTTCTGAAAATAGGACCCACAAAAGGTGTTGCTAAGTGAGAGTATGTAAAAACATTTTTGTGCAGTGCAGTTTCAAACCCTCTGTCTGGTAAGGAAATCAGAGAACTAATAAATCATAAGAGTTCCTCTGATTGTGAATGAACTTTTGTAGTTATTTGCACCTATGTTGAAAGGGAAAAATCTTAGGAGCTAATTTATTTTTTGTGTATTACAGCTGATAGCACTCACATGGATCTGTTTAGACACAATGAACTTAAAATGATTTGAAGTTATAGGGTTAAAAACCTCCTAAGTTTAGAAGTGTTAAGTGTTAAGAAGCCACAGAATGCAGTAGGTGTTTACTATTATTTTCTACTTCCTATTACTGCAGTCTAAAAAAGAAAAAGTCACTGAGCTAATTAAATTATATAAGGAAGACACCAAGAAAAGATATTAAAAGAAAATTGGTTTTGACTACAGTCTGTATCTGTGCTGAAGTAATGATGGGCAATATCATTCAGGTTTCATTTGTTCAAAGTCCACAAGATAATGTACATATTCAGCAAAAGAAAAATATACATCCAGGCAACAAACTACTATGTGAAAGTAATTTCATGCTCAATGACAACATATGAACCTTGTTTTTTCACACTGAATGAACTTCTGTCTTACCTTTGCTTGACTGGTGTTCCCATTTTTTTCAGTAGCAGCACAGAAAAATAAGCAAAATAAAATTAAAAGTTTGGTGTCATTCTAAGAGCAACAAGAAGCACTAGACAGTGCCTGCTGTAAACTCAGCATTCATCCTGGCACCAGGAAGAAACTGCAAAATCATTTCTCTGAAATTTTAATGAACTCCGACGAGAATGCTGCTGGTTAATGGACTTTATGCAATGGGCGGAAACTCATCCATTCACAATCCAACTTTTCATGGGGTTGGCTTGGTTTGCTAATATTTGTTATCACTTTACATCTACCTCTTTTGAATGCTGGTGTGGATGCAGCTGATCTGAAAAATCTAACCTTGTGCTTGACTTTGTTTCAAGCCAGGATGAGAAGTACATGGAGCACCAGAGGGATCTTGGTGGTGAGTCTGCAATCATGGTAATGTAATGGTATGGGGAAACCTGCCATACAATTAGCTTTAGATGGGCAAGCCTAAAAGTTCTCACCTCCAAGTGTTAAGAATTATATCCTTCCTATCACTCTTGTTACCCACAGAAACCCAAATTAATAATTTCTGTCTTCTGAATACTTTCAGTGGAAAACAGGAAAGGAAAGTAGTGTTTTAATTTGTTGCTGATCCAATTTTGGTCCTTTATTGATTCTCAGGGTACCTTTATTTTGACTTGAAACTTTTGGACCAACTTTTAGTGTCAGCATCGTGTACAGAGATATCTGCAATTCTAGTGTTGGACTGGACCAGAGCAGGGTTTCAGCTAATGTAGATGTATGTGATATGAGTTACTAGATACCTCCTGCAATCATCAAAATGTGCATGTTTAATAGCTGGTTCTGAGCATTAGTATTCATTTCTTGAAATCAGGGCCTACTGTTAAAGAAAGGTAATGAAGTCCCGAGCAAAATTTGTGAGAGAGAGTGGACAGTGGGCACGTTGCTACCATAAATACATGATCAGAGCTAGAGGAATTTAGTGCCACAAGACATCAAAACATGAAACTAGCACTTAAACAAAGGTGTATCAGGAGTAGCAGAGGGATGCACACCAATCCAAATGAAGAAATGCAGTATCGAAGAGCGAGGAGGGAACTCACAGGTGCAGGAAGTTAGCAATTCATCTGGGTGAGACTCTAAGCAAACAAACTGAAAAGTTCATTTGTGTTCCTAAAGGATTACCTGATATAATCTAAAGGACAAAATAATTCATTTCAAGAAGAGATCAGTTGTCAGCTCAAGGCACTCTGCTGTCAAGAGTTCCAAAAGCAGGTTTCTGTCTTGCCATACTTTACTTTTTGAGGGCCACAGTACAGCAAATTACTTAGGCAAGAGTTTTATTTAGCATCTGACTTGAAGGAATATAAGAATGTCTTTAAATAGTTTGCTTAATCTGTGCTCTTCAAGAAAGGAAGGAGTTGAGAAGAAAGTTTTCTTCAAATTTCTTGGCAGAACAATAATGTAAAGCATTCTGTGTACATGTATTTTCTGGTTTCTCTGAAAAGTCCCACCCCTAGAGCAACAGATATATATTATATGTATATATAAATTACATATATATGTATTTGTGGTATGTATTCTTATTATGTGTATATATACAGAAATTGCAGATAAATACAGACTCCTAGTGCCCTGGGAGCAAAGAAAAGCATTTTATTTAGACAAAGTACTAAGAATGTTGATATGTCAATGGTGGGATCTCAACATCAGTTTCTCCCAAAATGGATTGCATTCAACTCCTTCAAAAAATCAGGGGAACCTTATAGGCACTGATTTAAATACTAATACTCAGATTATGGGATTAAACATATTTTGATGATTTCAAGATGTAGTTAGTAACTCATACAAATCTACATTCCTTCAAACCCAGCTCTGCTGTTGGGTACGATGAGCCACTATAGCACAGCCAGTATTCCAGTGAAATGAGTTACTGAGAAGCTCAAACATGTTTCCTGTGGGTTTTGTGATTGCTCTCTCAACTGAGGTGACCTTCCTCTGGTACATGTGTTCCAGCTGTATCACAGATGCCATTGTAGAGGGGGGGATAAAATCTGGACTCTTGCCTTTTTCTTTTTTCCATCTTTCTAAAAATACTGTTCTATTAATAGCATAGCATTTTCCCAGGCTGCCAGTCTGTTGAGATGAAAAAGGGAGCTCATTAAGCTACTTTGGTGATAAAATAGACGGTTCTGATAAATGCACCCAAACTGACCATCCTTTTGGTCTAATCAGTAACATTCTTGCACGACTGCTCAGGACGTCATGTCTTTGGCATGATTCCACTTCCTTTTTTTCTGTAGTTTGATCCCCTGATGCCAAATACGGTAGGCTGCTGGCATGTTAGACACTGCAGCATGTGATTTCATCAGTGATTTGTTGCCATAAAACTCATCATCTGAGCCCTAAGAGCTGAGATTGCTTTAACCTGCTCTTTCCACAACCTTGCATGCCTGCTTGTGCTGTCCTGTCACAGGGGTGTTATATCTCCAGCCCTGGACTTTTCCTGCTGGAATGACTTGGTACTTTGGAAAGGAGCCCCTCTATTCAAGGTTTAAAATGGTTCTTTAGACAATGGTAAAGAAGTGGCTAATTGCCAGAAATCAGCTACATTAGAGCTGTCAAAAGGAGGGGCTGAGGAGGATTGGTGCAAATGGATGAAATATGCAGGAAAAGAAATAGGAAGAAGGAGACAAATGATAACAAGAGGAAAGTCAAGTGGGAAAAGAACAACAGAAGAATGAAAAGTTCAAACGGCAGTTAAAAATTTGGGCTTTGATAAAGAAAGATTTGATGAATGAAAAAGATGAGGTAAGAGAGGAAGATAGATAAAATAAGTGCTAAATGAGGAAAAGCAAGAGAGAAAACAGTTCTGGGGAATACATGAAAATACATGATGGTCACCTGTGATATTCACATGCTTTTTTTCACTAAAAAAGAATGGAAGAAGAGATGGTTGAAGACATCAACAATATAGACTAATTTACCTCTTAAATAATGTTTCCTGGTATTTGGGATCCAAAGTTAATTTTTTTTTTTTTTTTGCCATCCTGGAACAGGAATTTGATTGAAATTCTTTTACTGTCTGGACTGTGTGAGCATGTCTGTACCACTTAGTCAATGCTACATCACATCAAGATACTGGAATAAGCTCTGCATGAGGCAGGATTTGCATGGGAAGCAGCACAGCCCTGAAACGTAGCATTGCACCCAAGTTAAGATACCCCATGTTTCAGTAGAGTCCTTTGCCTCTGGGGGACATCAAACAAGCAGAGACACAGTGTTTGTAGGTCCCTTCTTCTGACATCTTTTTGTGTTAGCACAGTGTGAAGTAAAGGTGTAACTCCAGCTTTTTCTGTTGCCACTGTTTCACTTCCCAGAAATACTTTAGTGCTCACGAAGATACAGAGCATGTGGGAACTACTGTTTAGATTTTGAGCCAGTGAGCCCATGCATACCGGTAACAATCACAAACACAACAGCCTTTTCTGTATAAAATAAAAGTGTGCTTATCCAAATCAGTTTACAGGACTGGAAACTTAAAAAAAAAAATTCACAATTTCCGTTTCGTGGAACCATTTGGAACAACTTTTAATTCACATGACAAGGATTTTAGGACTTTAACATTTTCATCATTAAAGAACATTTTATTTCAGATTAAAATAAAATATTCTTTCTAAATGCATGACAATAAAACCTGATGTCTTAGCTCCCCATACTTGTTCCTCTGAGAAAATAAAGTGTCAAATACCCTAAATTCCACACTCTGGAGCAATTTAGATCTCCTTAGAGATCACAGTTTGAACTACAAATGCAATAAGGGCTGCATCCTGCTGTAGCTGAAATCCTTCCTAAGTCTACTTCTGCTTTTCAATCTCTCTAATTTTTCATTAGATCAAGAGTCACACATTTTTGTTGGCAGTAAAGCAATTCCAATTTGAACTGCCTTCTGTCTTCAATAGGAATTTTCCCAAAGTACAGAAATAAAAATGTAAAACTTTGCTGTGTTTCATTACTTTCATTCTTTTGAACATTGCGGCTCTGAAAGCTCTGTGTGAAATTATTAGAAGATGGGTTTTGAAATGCTTGTGAAAGTAGATGCATATATGGGACTCAAAGGGCCTTATTTAAAAAAGAAATTTGCCAGTTACCCAGATCTCTGGTTGGTTATGCCCATTCAAGGATACAGAATCCATCATTCCTATGATTATTTTTACATCTGAACTTTTTTTTTATACTAGATAGACTTGAAACTTTCAGGGTCATTTGCCCAGCATGTAGTTGAATGTCCTGTGCTATAGATTCCAATTAGCAAGACCATGTTCAATGGTCCTACACCTCCAATGCTGTCTAACTGCTTTCCACTTGGCTTTATATGTTTCTTCTTTGTTGCAGCTGCAACCAGGTCTATCTACCCTTTGATAGAAAAATTTCAATTACCCCAGGGAGAAGCTTTTAGCTTTATTAAGCATTGAAGTCTACACATTTGTTCTTCTGTTGAAGAACAGTTCAAAAGGAGACTTTCTGAGGAAGTAATCTGATAAATTAGGATAAATCTTGTGGATTTTCACTGCTAATGTTTTTCCTGTAGTCTGAGCCTAAGAATCTGCCAACTCAATGTACAGTTAAGCATTTCTTTAACACTTTTAGCCACTGACAGATGTTTCTTATACTTTACAAGTAAATGGCTCTTCAGTGTTTTTTGAGACTGCTGTGCTCTCAGCATAAAATTGATGTCACAGAAGGCTGGAGAGCTGTGCTCCAGCCTTGATAGACAGTGACAGAAAACTGTTCCCATCTGGTGGCTCTGTACTGGCCTCTGAGTAAACTAATGGTTTCCTTTCTGAGATGATGGGTGTCAACTCATCACCTCCTTGCTGCCCAGAGTAACCTTAGTTATCTCAGGAAAAGCAAGGCCTGCATACACCAGGTCTCTAACCTGCCCTCGCTTTGTTGTCATTGGCCTCTCGGGGGAGTGGGGTGGCCAAGTGAGGTGGAGGAAAGCTGGCAATAACACTGTTGTAAGTCACATCTCTTTGTAGATAAAAAAAAAGGAGCTACTCTTCCTAATGCTGTCAATCTTGTATTTTATTTCATTGGTGGGTTCATTTATGCCAGTAAATAAGGCTGTCATTTCTGCTTTTTAGTGTTTGAGAATTCCACAAAAGTTTCACGTCGCTGGTTTGAAATCGAATCTTTCATTATTGTCTCTATCTTGCAAATTAATTTATTACTGTATTTGAAGTCCTAAATGCCTCTTGAGAGAACTGAACATACAGTCTAACAATCTACCCATAAAGAGCAAACATGAGTTACACATTTAAAGAAGATAATCTTTCAGTTGTATGGAAATCCTGTCACTCTTGCTTTTCTGTTTAAGCTTCATATAATAAAGCTTTTCTTTCTGTTTTCAGAAAAGTTTTGGTTCTTGCTCACTCATCCCTGTTCTGTGTGGCAGAAGAAAATGGCACATTAAATCAAGACTGTAAAAAGGGGCACACAACTAAATGAAATTATTATCACCATATTAGAACACTGGAGTTCTTGGATGCAATATATTTTTCTAGAAATCCTCTAGAAGAGGGAGTGAGTAGGAAATAAATAAACATGGAGAGAGTCCTCTAAACCCACATTCTCACCTTAGTCTGAAGCTACAGCATGCTTTTTGGAGCACTATTAAATAACAGCCACTATCAGTTCCAAACACAGGTAGTAGAATTTACATAAGCAAATGTCATCTGGCTAAATACTGCCCCATAAATATACATATTATAATCTGTTATTAACACACAAGATTATATTGTCATAATACATCAAAATATTACAAGTGGGGATTTCGAATGAATTATCACTCTTCAATTCTGTGCATCCATCATGAGGCCAATATGCCACCAGCATCTCTCTTACAAGACACACACATTCTCTCCTGTCCCTCAGGACAGAGGCACTTAACTTCTTTCTCAGCAACTCAGCCAACAACAAATACTCCCACTGAAACCAAAACGAAATTGAAAAAGAAAGAAAAGAAAATCCCCAAACTATTTGCTCTCTCCGAGGGAAACACTATTTCGTGGTGCCATATAGTTAGTAAGACAGAGGCAAAATAATTAAGATTACAGAAATTAATTCTATATCAAAGTCCACAGAAGGACTCCTGTTGACATCAAAGCTTTGTCTTCTTTTTGATAATGAGATTACACTTCATACTTGATTTTCTACATATTATTCTCTGCAGAGTAGATGTATTACCACTGTCTGTCAATGATTCTGCACAAAATTCAGTCTGTTTAAAAGGAAGGGATAGGTTTTTTATGCCACCGGGTTTAGAAAACTTGCAATCTAAGACCTTATTCCATAACCTTGGAGTTGAAACTGTAGTTAGAGCTTGTGTTTCCAGTGTTTCATCATGTGCATCCATATTTTATGCTTTTACTTCCAGTTAGTCAAGGCCTCTGTCTTTCAAATTTCAACTTGTATCATCTATCCAGCTTCATTCAATACATTTGTATACATGTAATTACATGATGTGCAGTAAATAATGCTGTTGACAGGACAGAAAAAAGTGGAAAAAATTGCTCACTCTCTCACCTGGTTGGGTCTGGAAAAATTAGATGGAGTAAAATGCAGTTAGAAGGCAGCAGATAAGATTGAACATAAAGAAAGTGTTAGCTTTTTTACCAAAAAAACCCCCCTATATATCTGCCTATCCACTTATCAGAGTAGAAATACCATAAACCAAATACCCAATCTTACTTTGATACTCTCCATTTTCTGAACACTGCTAACACAGTCTGGTGACATTTTGACATGTAACCTTTTAAGAGAAGTTCAAGGTATATGTTGCTGAATCAGTCGTTGCTATTACTGATGTTTGCAGCATTAAGAGAGAGAAACTACTGGAGAAAAATCTTGCAGGTGCCAGACAGAGAGATGCCTATATTAAGGCTTATGTTGAATTGTTAATTTTTAGTTATCAGCAAAACCAAACTAAGAATCTGCGTGTTCAGCTGAGAGTGTTATTGGTGCAGCTTGTTCAAGCTTCAAAGATAACAGTTGCTTTCAGTATAAAATGCTGAGATTTTTTTTTTCTCCTCCCAGGTTTGAGCTCTTAAGTTCAAAGCATACATGAAATTTTTGATGTTTACAAGGATTCGAGAAGATCATCATCTCAGTCAGGGTGCATCTGACCTGTAGCTGGAGAAGGCCAACATCATTCTCCATATGTGAAAACACTACAGTCCAGACAGCTCTTATGCTGGAATTGGTCCATAGGATATTCCCATCCTAGTTCCAGCCATTCACCTTCTCTGCCCAGACCCTTTCCTACTTCTTCCTCCTCTGTTCTGCAGCAGTCATCTACAAATACAGAATATTAGGTCTATAGCAGGGCCTTTCAGGGGAAATGAAAGCTGAGTGGATGGCCAAGGGCAGAGTCTGGCTGCTTATGCAGTGGAGGTGATTGGAAACTGTTCAGGAGATAATCCAGGAGCTGCTGCAGGTGCCAATGTGCAGGGGTTGGAGGTGGCTTGGGCAGGGTGGACAGGGCAGGAGAGCTGCTGCCAAGTGAGACAGCGAAGGTGAGTTTAAGCACTGTGTGGAAGAGGATGATGATGGGAGGGGGGACACAGCCTGCAGCTGGACAGGAAGATGTGTTATGGGCCTTTGGAAAGGAGATCCAACTCAGGGCTGCCAGGGCTGCACATTTCTGCTTTGCCTTATCTCACAACAGCAAAAAGCAGGTGAAGATGATCTCAAATTAGCAGAACAGTTCTATCAAAAACTTTATGCTGATCAATATGACGATTGTTTCAGGACAGTGCTTTCACCCAAATTGTGCTTTATCTTCCAGATATAACAATTTATAATTTTATCCGAGTTGCTTTTATTTCATGGACTTCTAAAGAAAGATCCTACCATGATCATCTCTACTAAGGATCAGTTTATATTTCCTGCAGAAAATTCCTCCTCACTACATAACCTTCACATGCTATTGAGCAAAGACCTCTTTTTTACTCAAATATTTGTAGGAGAATTTCCCTACATTTAGTGATCTCTCCAAGGCACTAACAGTAGAGAAAGTCTGCCAGAGGCAGGTTGAGGAGCTGTTGAATCACTTTCTTTAAGATTTCTGGTTACTCAGTGTAGCCTACAGTGTGAGGCTATAGTGGTAGAGAGAGGAGCTGTGTGAGAAACCATAGGAATGATCTACGAAACATAAGAAAAAAATAATGCAAAAAGTGATGGAGAACATTTTAAAGAAGCCAGGTTCTGCTGGAATGGTTCTGTGACAATCTCAACCAGTGCTTTTCAGCATCTTCGGTCATTGTGTCACTTCAGGAAATTAAGACACCTCTACGCTTGGTGGTCGCAGGAGTTCACAAAGCAAGGAGTGATTTAGGTCTCTGGCTGACGCTGGTACCTCCCAGGCTGAGAGCAGCACTTCAGTGGAGTGGCTTTGTATCAGCGACACAGGCACTTCTGCACATGCACCAAATGTTTGTGTCTTAATGCATTTTTCCTCTCCAAAGAAAACATACATTCTATAGCCTTCTTGGATAGTTCCTCTTCCTTCATTACTCCACTTCGGGGTATTCTTTCTGGAATGTGTCCTCAATCCTTTCTCTGTATGACTAAACAGTAGGTCAGACAGCAGGTAAGTATGTTACAGTCCCAGGCACAGGAATTCCCCTCAAAAGAAATATTCAAAGTCATTGCAATAATGAGGAAATAAACAAAACAATGAACCCTGCTGACTGGTCTCTTGCAGTATATAGCTGCTATTCAGGTGACAAATTAAATGGTGGGCAGAAAATAACACTACTGCTATTACTATATATCTTCATAATACCTGGGAGATGGCAGCAGCAGTCCTTGCCCTCATCCCACAACAACATTACTTGGCATCAGCCAATGAGATCTCCACTATCAAGAGTTGTCCAAGCCATGAAAGAATCTGTTCAAAGCAGAGAGTGTTGCCCAGGTGAAGGATACAGAGCTCTTACTTTCATTGTGCTTTTTCATCCCACCAGTGAAACAGCTTTGTCTGTGAATCTGGCTGCAGCATGGAGGGAGTGAAAGAGAGAATGTGCACACACACTTCTGGCAAAATAAATGCCACAGTTTTAGGTTCAACAGGACTCTCATTTTAACTAGAAAAAAAAAAAAACTGATTTCATGTAATCAGTACCTCCCTGGAACAGGCCCCCAGCAGGTACTTGTGCCTACAGGACAGGTGGCTAAGCTCTGCCTAATCCTCAGGAAACTCTGTTCTTGTACACGCCACTGCCTTGCACCATGAAGTTACACAGGGCTGTCAAAACAAACAGCTCCTATCATGCTTCACAGTCCCAGTGGCACCTGGTATTCACCAGAAAATGGAAACCTCAGCACACCTAATGGCAGAGATTGAGAGCAGCCTGTGTAGGCCAATGCAGGGACCCCTTTTTGGCCATGGAGAAAGCCTGTGGGGAGGAGCACGGTACCAGCAGCACCACTTGGTTTTGGGAATGCTTTACCTCTTCTCCCAAGAGAACAGAAGAGTCAAAAATATTTTAAAATCTTCAATATTTGCATTTTCATGTGTCTACTTTTGTCCTTGCTTTCCTCGGTGAGAGGCATCCAAAATATTTTTTAACACAATTTTAGGATTTGAAACTGCAGTTAGGCCTGTTCATTATAAGCACCTGGAGTTTAGATGGGAAAAGTGCCAGAAAACTTTCCAGTAGTTTTAAGTAATCTGAAACACTAGTTGGATAAGCTCACTTTTGAGAAAAGGAAGGCATGAGCCGCTATAGAAGAATGGAAAGGACAACTCCATATCTTTATCAGTTTTGTTCAGGTGATAAAGGTTTTTTTCATTTCCCTATCAAAATATTAACCACCTATGAGTTACAGATTCAGTGGATGAAATCTTTTAGGGTTTGTAATCAATGAGCTCCAAATGAATTATTTAGAGTTTATAGTCAGTCTTTGGAACTGATGATCTGATAATTTAACTCAGATCTGATTTATCAATAGCTAACAAATATATTTATATAAAAATACTTCAGAGAGTATTCACTTAGTAAGTGGACTGCCTTAACTTTTGCTTTAGCTTAATACCAGTGATACCAGCTAAATTTTAGTTTCCTACTTTGAAGTTTTTTCCTAGACAGATATAATAATTTTTAAAACAAAATGATAATTTAACGAAACATCCATTTTTTAAATAAGTAGCACAGACCAAGAACCTTTCCATATTAAGTAAATATCAAGTGACCAAGGGAAAAAGGAAAAACCTGATGAGCCCCCAGTTAATGTCTGGGTCTCTCACACAGTCCTACTCATAGATC